TGGGGGAACCCCCCGGGCTGACCAGGGTCCTTGGCCACCCTTCAGGCCTGGAGCTAAACTCACACCCCTCCCCCACCCATGGATCAATGTTCAGCCAAAGAATAGACAGGCCCAGATGGCAAACAAAGATACAAGGAGGCGCACACCACTTTGAATTGACAACCACTTGCGGTCCAAAGGGCATCATGTAGCCTGTGCCAGAGTCCCCAGAGAAGACAGGGGGACGAGAAACAGGAAGCCCCGGGAGCAGTGGCGGGGCTAGCCGTGAAGGAGAGGCACCACAGCTGTGTTCGGCTCGCTGAGTGGGAAACTCATGGAGACCCAGGCTGTCAGCAGGCACCCAATTCACAGTCAAAGGTTAAAGGGAAAACAAACGCACAGCCGGGGTCTCCATGGAGATGCCAAGCCAGGAAACCCCATGGGGCCATTCTCCCCATCACACGGCTGCACCCACTCCGAGACATCCCCCTGCAATCCCAGCATGGGGACCCACCACTCCCCCGGGGAGACCGGGGGGCTCACCTGGAACGTGACCCACGTGGCATAGAGCAGGGCCGCTTCCTTGGTCACTGAAGGAGTCTTGGCCCAGATGTCGGCCAGCCGAGCGCGGCCGGTGACGAGGTCCAGCACGGGGGCGGTCAGTGAGCAGCTGTACTGGTCGCAGGCCATGATGAAGAAGTACACAATGAAGGGGGCGAAGAGCAGCAGGAAGAGCACGCTGGCCAAGGAAAACCAGTCCACCTCCCTGCAAGACAGCACGGCGGGGGGGCGCTCGATAGCTGTTCACAGCGGCAGTCGGCCTTTGTGCCCCCCTCCCCACCCACCCTCAAAGCCACCATGCGTGTGCTTGCTTGTGACCCTGCAGGACGCCAAGAGAAAAGGCGGCGTGTCTGAGTGTTTAGAAGGAAGCACTGTCGGGCTGTGCGGGTCACCACTGGAACCTCCAGGGTGGACAAATCAGTGAGCAGCAGGCACACAGAAACCTGAGCAAACGGGGAGAAGCGAGGCAGCTGCCGACTCTCAGGGGGAAAGCCGATCAGGGGGCATTCTTTTCGCCCAGAGAAAGGCCAGGGCCCATCCTGAGCACCACGGCCAAGGGCTTCTCACGTTCTAGGCTGAGGACCAAGATCCCCCGCCACATCCTATGCCCCAACAAGAACCACGACACCAATAGTTAAAATATACTGGCTTCCTGCGGGGGTCCGTGTGAGCTAGAGCCACGCCCCACGGGCCTTCCAAAGGCTGGTTTTCAGACTCGAGTCACCAGGCCTTTCTTCCAAGTGAGGCACAGGCAACGCTTCACTGTCGGAGCTGCCCGGGGCTCCGCGCTGCTTTCAGCTCCAGAACCTTCCTCCAGGCTCCCTGTTTAAAGGGAGAAACTGCTCCTCTTTTGTTAGGCTTGGCAAAGAGGTTTTAAAAAAATGAAATGACCCATAAGATCCCAAGAGCTGGCCAAGGTTCTTACCAAGCACGACCCCACTGCCCTTGAGAGTCGGCGCTGCCATTGGCAACACTGCCCAGGCTCCTGCTCTTGGGAATGCTCGGCTGGGGTCTTGCCGCCATTGGGCCCTGAGGGAAGGAAAGATGCCATGCTCAGAGGGGTCCCAGGATGAGCAGACCCGCCCCTCCAGACCCCTCTGGTCCAGCTGCTGCCCAGCAGACTTACAGCATGACCCAGATGGTCATGGCTCAGCCCTGGCAGCTGGCCTCCCTCCCGTCCTCCACTGTGCCCTCCCATGTACTGTTCCCCACACCAACCCCCTACCCATGGGACAATTCCGACTAAGGAGTAGAGCTGTCCTAGAGGATGTCTGAGGGTTCAAATCCCCCTGGTACCATGCAGCCATGTCTTCCTCCCACGGAATGGCCGATGGGCTCAAACCGCCTACTTTTGAGTCAGTGGTGGGGTGCTCAGCTGACTCCCTGAGCCCAGGGCTCCCTGCTGTAGGCCCATAAGGCCCACCACCCTGAGCTCCTGGCCCCTGCTCCCTGCTGCTCTGGGGGCTCTGACCAGGGTCCTCCCTCACCCCTGACCAGCCCATCAGAAGGGACAGGTGCCTAGCTCCTGGCCAATGTACCCAACCTACTGTGTCTGCTGGGTGAGTTTGCACACTGCCTGGAATGGTTTACCTGTGTGAGAGCTTATTTCCCGGCCCCCAAGCCGCACTAGAGTATAAGCTCAGGGGCAGAAACCATCCGATTCATCTCCCTAGGAGCCCTGGTGGTGGAATGGTCGCTCCTTGGGCTGTTAACCACAAGGTCAGCAGCTGGAAACCACCAGCTGCTCCACAGGAGAAAGATGAGGCTGTCTGCTCCCATCAAGAGTTACAGTCTCAGAAACCCACGGGGACAGGTCTAGCTTCTCCTATAGGGCTGCTGTGTCGGAATTGGCTTGATGGCAGTGAGTTTGAGTTTGTTTGTTTGTTTGTTTGTTTGTTTGTTTGTTTGTTTGTTTGTTTTGGGGGGAGCAGATGAGTTACAGTCTCAGAAACCCACAAGGCCAGCCCTACGTCATCCTATAAGATTGCTATGCGTTGTAACCGAGTCGATGGCAGTGAGTTTTTGAGTACTGATCTCCCTGCCAAGAAAGCCTGCCACATTACACACAAATATTCAATGAACAATCACACCACCAGAGAGAGACAAAACAGAATTCCCTCGCATACCTAGCTCTGCTCCAGATTCTTCTTCTTGCTGGAAAATGTCTGGGTTTCCTCCGTATCCCAGGTTCCAGCTCCCTCGGGGTTTACTATATAACAGGTGAATGAAACACAAGACAAAACCATGATCACTAATGGGTGAGACAATAAATACAGGTAGCTTCACCATGACAGTGTGACCACAATACTGACTCCAAGACCCGAGGCAGGACATGAACAGGGACGAGGCGCTGGAAGCCCCTTGTTTAGAAACAAGCAGGCTAAAACAAATGACGCACAACTGGCAGAACGGCAAGCCTTTGCTCCTGGGGAACGCGACTGGGAGGTGGCAGAGGACTATCATTTGCATCAACGGCTCCATGTAGATGTGTCTGGCTTTGTTTTCAGGTGAGCTGGAATTGTCGCTAGTGCAGAGGAATCAGTTCTGACTTCTGAGGATGTGTCATGAGATGAGTTACTCAGGGGGCCTGGTGCCCAACAGCAGGCCGTTGGAGTCTGGGGAACCCACAGGCCCAGTCACTACGAGTCGGCATCCGGTGGGTGGCATGGAGTTTGGTTTTTGTGGCTCATGGGGCTTGGTGCCTCAGCCCTAGGGGTAAATGGGGAGGGTCCCCTCTCTCAGCCTTTTGTTGGAAACCCACCTAAAGCAATTCCTACCCTGAAAAAAGCAGGCTTTTGGAAAAGCTGTACATTTTATAGGAGAGAAGAAAGACACCCGATGTTTTACAGTCTCAGTAGCTTTGGAAAGCGGGTTGGGGAGCTCGGCCTGCACCTCTCACCTGCACCCCACCCTTCCGCCTGCCCAGGCCAGGCCCTCGGAAGAAGACAAGGCCAGCCTGCCCGGGGCGGGCATCCAGGGTCCCGACCAGCCAGGCACAGGAAGCGTCCGGGGAAGCGGGGCCACCACGGCCGGGGACAAGGGTCGTCCATCCCTCCGGCCCTGGTCACCGGAGCGCTGGCCTCTCTCGCCAGGCCACATGCTCCCAGCTTCCCTCAGCACACCCCTCCTCCACACCTGAGCACCAAGCCGCCACCCGAGCAGGGCTTCCTCCCACCGGGCGCACAGGCCCCCTGCTCACCTGACCGCGCGCCCCTCCCCACCTGCACGAACCCCAACCCTCCTCGCTCCCACCTGCGCGCTCTCGCGCCTGTAACCCCTCCCCACCTTTCTGCACCCTCGCACCCCCTCCCTACGTGCGTGCTCGCGCCCCTCTCCACCCGCGCACCAGTGCGCATCGCGGGCCCAGCCTCACCTGCGCGCTCAGAATCCCGGCCTCTGGCAACCAGACCCACTCCGACACCTCCTGGACCATGCAACCGGATGCCACGCCCCCAGGCTGACGTGTCCGCCGCGCGACCAATCAGAGTCGAGGTTCTTCCGGGAGGCCGCATCAGAGCCCTCCTATTGGTGAAAGTGCCTCGACCCACCCCCTGGGCTGACTCCGGGCCACCGCGAACACCAATCAACAGCGGCGAAGCGCGTGAGTGACGGCGGGCGCTTCTCCTCCCAGGGGCCGCATCTTCAGCCCCAGGCGTCCTCCTCCCCGATCTTTTTTTTTTTTTACACACCGGGGCGCTTTATTGAGCTTGCTGAGAGATGGAGATACTGTACGTGCTCAAACGGCTGTGGACAGGAGCAGCAGCAGATAGGCCAGAGGTCAGGTCGTCCAGCAGGGCAGGGCCGGAGGGTCTGTGGTGCAGTGACCAGTGGCCTTGCTGGCCCATCATCTGTGACAGGGCTTGGAAGCTCATCACTGTGCCGATGGCGACAAGAATGACGAAGACGACGATTCCCAGGAGGCCGAGGACTGTAGAGAAGATGTTCAGGGACTTGGCAGTGGACGCGTGGCTCTGGGCCCCAATCATGTCACCCACCATCTTCCAGTCCCTAGACTTCACGGAGTAGGCGTAGGCCACGAAGCCCAGGCAGCAGCAGTTGAGGAAGAGCGTGTTGAAGAGGGACCAGACGACGTGGTCGGGCACCTGGGGTCCACTCTGGATGTTGATCACGGTGGACTGCATGGGGGCAGAGTGGTATGGGGCCCGCAGCCCACCCATCTTGAGCTCCTCTTGAGCCATCTCCTGGGCGTGAGGACACACAGACCTGCAGAATGGGAGAGGCTCCCCCGATCTTTTAAAAACCTGTCAGCGAAACCAATGGCACCGAAAAACATCGCGCTGCGCGTGGGCCGGCGCGTAGGCCTGACCCCAGTGCTGCCCGCGGGCCCATCTGGGAAGCCTCCCGCCCTCAAGTGACGCTGAGTGACAATCGCTCTGAAAATGTGCACTCCGGGGTCAAGCTGTGCTCCCGTGATTACCTGGTGGTTAACGTGATTGACAGGAACCCTCAGCTAATGGTACCAGCAGCTTCCGCCGCTGCTGCTGGCGGCCTGTCGCATGAGAGTCCAGCCTGGGCATCCCTCGGGGTCAGTGGCGGGTCTTGGGTTGCTGGCAGTTTGCCAGGCGGCCAGAGTCCACCTCCAGCTTTTTTCCTGAGCGTTTTTCATTTGCAGTGACCGATGAGAACGCCCGTCGCCCACTTTATGTAAATGCCACGCAAGGAAGAAGGACGGCTTCCCACGGGCCCTTGATAGCCCCTGGAGAAAAGTACAGCCAGAAAGCGCCTGAGAACCAAGCGTGGCATTCTACACTCCAAAGACCAAACTCAATTGCCATCAGCGATTCTGACTCACAGCCACCCTACAGGGCAGGGCAGAAGGTCCCTGTGGGTTTCCCAGGCTGTTAATCAAAGTGCAGTAAAGCCTCCTCTCTCCCTGAGGAGGGCGGGGGTTTCCAATGGCTGGCCTTGGGGTGAGCAGCCCCCCACTGGGTCCCAAGGGTGATCAAACTCCCCCTCAAATGCCCTAGGCATGTGGTCAGGAGGGACTGCTTAGGGAAAACCGATACCAGAAATCTAACACAATCGAAGATTTCATTTGTTAAACATCCGACATGTAACCGTCCCCTCCCAAAATGTAACAGCACTAAGCATTCAGCCTAAGCTGCTGGGCTTGGTGATGTCGTGGTCCCTGGAGAACTGTAGGCATAAATCACTGCCTGATGATCATTGCAAACCCTTCCGTGGAGTAGCCATTGTATCCTGTGACATTGTAGAAAAATTAAAGATCCCTAATCTCTTCCGATAATCACTGTGGGGTTTTTTAATTTATTTTTTAAAGCCCGTTTCTTGTCTAAGAACTTGCAAGGTCTGGCCTGAACTCTGGAACGGGTCAGAGGGCCCCACGTCTGTCAGTACTTGCTGGAAGAAACCCAGAATTTCTCCAATCAGCCTGGGCTACGTTTGGTGCTGCAGTGACAGGCTCTCCTGGACCCTTCGCCGACCGACAATAGGACTGGTCCCTACAAGGGAACATCAGGCTTGGGAGAGTGGAAGGTCAGTGGAGAACAGGGAGACCCTCCTTCAGTGAGCTGGATCAGCACAGTGACAGCAACAAGGGGTACAAACATACAATTGTGAGGACGGACGTCGCAAGAGTGTTTTGTTCTCTTGTGGGTGGGGTCAATATGAGTCAGGGCACCGAAGAACTACAAGGCCTGAGAGATTGAAGAAAGAGGCCCTGGTGGTACAGTGGGGCAGGCGCTGGAGTGCTGACCCCATACCTTGCATTGGCAGTTCAAACCCACCAGCCGCTCCTGGGGAGGAAGATGAGGCACTCTGCTCCCACAAAGACTTACAGCCTCGGAAATCCTATACAGATAGCCACTCAGATGGTTACAATCAACTGGGTGGCACTTGCCTTGTTTTGGGGGTGATGGAACAGGTGCCCTGGGAGCCCCATGCTTGAAGTGGGAATCTGCTCACAGCCTTTTCTGCACTCCAAACCCACCCATCCCTGGGAGGGAGAAAGATGTGGCTGCCTGCTTCACGAAAAATTGATCGCCTGGCAGCCTGGGCTATTTGGATCTTCCCGGGGAGCCAGTGAATCCATTTCCCCTGGGGCCGTCCCAGTGTAAACCACCCTCCTCCTGCCGAAACATGCCAGCTGGTGTTTGTGTCCAACCAGGGCAGAGGGGACATCTCCTTGCAAGCTTCGTAAACCGAGGGGACGCTGAATGTGGGGACCGCGAACAGCGTGGCACCAGGGAAAGGCCTGTGAAAACACAGGGACCAAATGCAAGTTCCAAACCAAATGCGCCACCCAAGGTCAAGGTTTTCTGACAATCAATGCCCAGGTGGGACCTCGCTCAGGAGAAAAGCAGCCAGGAGTGAAGAAGGCCCAATTGCTCTAATGCGGCAGGGAACGGTGCAACCGCTGGTATTCCTTCTGGGGTGTCTGTGTGTGTGTCTGTCTTCTCTTGATTTTTCCTGCAACATGACGCGGTGGCGGACATCAGGACCCCTGGTTCCTGACCACGTCTGCGTGCCCCTGCTATGAACCAGGGTGTTGTCCGGCACAACCAAATGAAGGGAACCCTGCTCTGCAAAGGAAATATTCCACATTCAACACCACTATCCAATCTATTGTCCATGTTCAGTTTCCTGCCCCCAAGTTTCCCCAAATCCCCTGCAGAGTGCCTCTTCCTTTCTCTAAAACTCGGGGTGCACTGGGAATCACACAGTGAGTGCTTCCCTGGATTGGGGCTTCCTTGCCCTTAGGGACCCACCAGGTGGTTCCGAGCCATATGGAGCCCATCGACAACAGCAAGAACTATGCCCGGACCTGCTCTGTCCTCACAATGGGTGCTTGAGCACGAGGTTGCAGCCACTGTGTCGGTGCAGCCCCTGGAGGGTCATCCTCCTTCCCTCTGGCCCTCTGCGTACCAAGCATGAAGCCCTGCCCCAGGACCGGCCTCTCCTAAAACCCTGTTCAAAGGATGTAAGACAAATTCTCGCCTTCTCTCTAAGGAGGACTCGGGCCCTATTTTTCAAGACAGATAGGTCTGTCCTTTTAATAGTTCATGGTACTTTCAATATTCCAGCATCACCATACCAATACGTAGGTTTGGGGTTTTGGGGGGTTTTTCTGGTCTTTTGTGAGGGAGATGGACTTCTTCCTGTTCTCCCTCTACTTTACCACACATGATGGCCTTCTCCAGAGCCTGGTCCCTCCTGCTGACACGCCCAGAGGACAGACATGAGGAGGAAGCCTTCTCATTGTCAAGTGTTTACTTGGTTGTCTACCTAGTCTCCCCTGACCTGGGTGTGTTACAGCTGGCGCCTTGCAAAATGTCTCTGCTGGCAGGTGTGGGCTCCCTCCGAGTTTAAGTGGTGCACGTTTGGGGCAGGATGACACACTACAGGTTGTTCTTGGGATGGCTGCCAGGCAACTTGGGTGTGCCTGGTATTTGTCAAGTCCTTGTGCACAAAGAACAAATCACAGCACCACCCATGCGCCCAGTCTTGCTTCATCCCCTCCACTGCTGCCATGTCAGAGCCCACGGGGTTGGCTGCTGTGTCTGTCATCCCTTGGCTCAGAGCATCTTCCTCACCCTCACTGGCCCTCGCCTTCACCGAGCCCATGACCTCCTCCAGAGACTGACACGCTGGCCCTACTCTGGCCCGACTTCTTCCCAGACAGATGGGTTGGTCCTTGTAACACTCGGTGGTTGTATTAGTCTGGGTACTTTGGAGAAACAAATCCACAGCAACTCATGTATAAGAGAGAGTTTTATGTAAAGAAAATGTGCATCACGAAAACATCCCAACCCAATGCTGCCCAAGCCCACAAGTCCAACATTAACCCATTTAACCCAACACCAGTCCACAAAGTCCTCCACCTCACAGAACAGAGGCAATGATGCCGACTGCAGGAGGAAAGCTGAGTCAGTGAACGAACAAGCATCTCAGCACTAGCAGGGGTCTCCACACGGCTACTCCAGCACCCAGGGCTGCATCGGGATAGATCCATGCGGCTTCTCCTTGGGGATGTCTTGTAGGAAGTCAACCTTGCAAGCTGAAGCAGGGAACTGCTAAGGCAGCTGCACCCGGTGCAACCATCACAAAACAAGAGACCCGAGAACTAGAAAGGCGAGGCTTCACCACCCATTTATCCCTCCGCCTTTCAACCAGCCCCACATGTGATTATCAGCCAGGCTGGCACAATTAACTAACTCCGTGGTACTTTCAATATTCTTCTCCAGCTCCACAGTTCAAACACTTCCATTCTCCTCCGGCTTCCTTAGTCCACGTCGTCCACAACAAGCGAGTGAGACAGTGTTCCGTGTGGCCCCCAACAGCTGATGACTGCACAGAGCCTTTCAGCCCTGCCTACAGTCACTCCACACCACCCTGGGTGGGAGGATGCAAATGAGGTGATTGTAGCCCACCAAGGGGATTGGACAGCAGTTAACCATGCCAATTC